TTTCACCCATCCCTGCCCCTATGCCCTCGCCATTCTTCCCCACACGCGCCCTGACCAGCCCATGCCTGCATGCCCTCCCCTTGCCTTCATTCCCCCATTTTCACCCATCCCTGCCCCTATGCCCTCCCCATTCCTCCCCACACGCGCCCTGACCAGCCCATGCCTGCATGCCCTCCCCTTGCCTTCATTCCCCCATTTTCACCCATCCCTGCCCCGATGCCCTCCCCATTCTTCCCTACACGCGCCCTGACCAGCCCATGCCTGCATGCCCTCCCCTTGCCTTCATTCCCCCATTTTCACCCATCCCTGCCCCTATGCCCTCCCCATTCCTCCCCACACGCGCCCTGACCAGCCCATGCCTGCATGCCCTCCCCTTGCCTTCATTCCCCCATTTTCACCCATCCCTGCCCCTATGCCCTCCCCTTGCCTTCATTCCCCCATTTTCACCCATACCTGCCCCTATGCCCTCCCCATTCCTCCCCACACGCGCCCTGACCAGCCCATGCCTGCATGCCCTCCCCTTGCCTTCATTCCCCCATTTTCACCCATCCCTGCCCCTATGCCCTCCCCATTCCTCCCCACACGCGCCCTGACCAGCCCATGCCTGCATGCCCTCCCCTTGCCTTCATTCCCCCATTTTCACCCATCCCTGCCCCTATGCCCACCCCATTCCTCCCCACACGCGCCCTGACCAGCCCATGCCTGCGTACCCTCCCCTTGCCTTCATTCCCCCATTTTCACCCATCCCTGCCCCTATGCCCTCCCCTTGCCTTCATTCCCCCATTTTCACCCATCCCTGCCCCTATGCCCTCCCCATTCCTCCCCACACGCGCCCTGACCAGCCCATGCCTGCATGCCCTCCCCTTGCCTTCATTCCCCCATTTTCACCCATCCCTGCCCCTATGCCCACCCCATTCCTCCCCACACGCGCCCTGACCAGCCCATGCCTGCATGCCCTCCCCTTGCCTTCATTCCCCCATTTTCACCCATCCCTGCCCCTATGCCCACCCCATTCCTCCCCACACGCGCCCTGACCAGCCCATGCCTGCGTACCCTCCCCTTGCCTTCATTCCCCCATTTTCACCCATCCCTGCCCCTATGCCCTCCCCTTGCCTTCATTCCCCCATTTTCACCCATCCCTGCCCCTATGCCCTCCCCATTCCTCCCCACACGCGCCCTGACCAGCCCATGCCTGCATGCCCTCCCCTTGCCTTCATTCCCCCATTTTCACCCATCCCTGCCCCTATGCCCACCCCATTCCTCCCCACACGCGCCCTGACCAGCCCATGCCTGCATGCCCTCCCCTTGCCTTCATTCCCCCATTTTCACTCATCCCTGCCCCTATGCCCTCACCATTCCTCCCCACACGCACCCTGACCAGGCCATGCCTGCATGCCCTCCCCTTGCCTTCATTCCCCCATTTTCACCCATCCCTGCCCCTATGCCCTCGCCATTCTTCCCCACACGCGCCCTGACCAGCCCATGCCTGCATGCCCTCCCCTTGCCTTCATTCCCCCATTTTCACCCATCCCTGCCCCTATGCCCTCCCCATTCCTCCCCACACGCGCCCTGACCAGCCCATGCCTGCATGCCCTCCCCTTGCCTTCATTCCCCCATTTTCACCCATCCCTGCCCCTATGCCCTCCCCATTCCTCCCCACACGCGCCCTGACCAGCCCATGCCTGCATGCCCTCCCCTTGCCTTCATTCCCCCATTTTCACCCATCCCTGCCCCTATGCCCTCCCCATTCCTCCCCACACGCGCCCTGACCAGCCCATGCCTGCATGCCCTCCCCTTGCCTTCATTCCCCCATTTTCACCCATCCCTGCCCCAATGCCCTCCCCATTCCTCCCCACACGCGCCCTGACCAGCCCATGCCTGCATACCCTCCTCTTGCCTTCATTCCCCCATTTTCACCCATCCCTGCCCCTATGCCCTCCCCATTCCTCCCCACACGCGCCCTGACCAGCCCATGCCTGCATGCCCTCCCCTTGCCTTCATTCCCCCATTTTCACCCATCCCTGCCCCTATGCCCTCCCCATTCCTCCCCACACGCGCCCTGACCAGCCCATGCCTGCATGCCCTCCCCTTGCCTTCATTCCCCCATTTTCACCCATCCCTGCCCCAATGCCCTCCCCATTCCTCCCCACACGCGCCCTGACCAGCCCATGCCTGCATGCCCTCCCCTTGCCTTCATTCCCCCATTTTCACCCATCCCTGCCCCAATGCCCTCCCCATTCCTCCCCACACGCGCCCTGACCAGCCCATGCCTGCATACCCTCCTCTTGCCTTCATTCCCCCATTTTCACCCATCCCTGCCCCTATGCCCTCCCCATTCCTCCCCACACGCGCCCTGACCAGCCCATGCCTGCATGCCCTCCTCTTGCCTTCATTCCCCCATTTTCACTCATCCCTGCCCCTAGGCCCACCCCATTCGTCCCCACACGCGCCCTGGCCAGCCCATGCCTGCATGCCCTCCCCTTGCCTTCATTCCCCCATTTTCACTCATCCCTGCCCCTATGCCCTCACCATTCCTCCCCACACGCACCCTGACCAGGCCATGCCTGCATGCCCTCCCCTTGCCTTCATTCCCCCATTTTCACCCATCCCTGCCCCTATGCCCTCCCCATTCCTCCCCACACGCGCCCTGACCAGCCCATGCCTGCATGCCCTCCCCTTGCCTTCATTCCCCCATTTTCACCCATCCCTGCCCCTATGCCCTCCCCATTCCTCCCCACACGCACCCTGACCAGGCCATGCCTGCATGCCCTCCCCTTGCCTTCATTCCCCCATTTTCACCCATCCCTGCCCCTATGCCCTCCCCATTCCTCCCCACACGCGCCCTGACCAGCCCATGCCTGCATGCCCTCCCCTTGCCTTCATTCCCCCATTTTCACCCATCCCTGCCCCTATGCCCTCCCCATTCCTCCCCACACGCACCCTGACCAGGCCATGCCTGCATGCCCTCCTCTTGCCTTCATTCCCCCATTTTCACCCATCCCTGCCCCTATGCCCTCCCCATTCCACCCCACACGCGCCCTGACCAGCCCATGCCTGCATGCCCTCCCCTTGCCTTCATTCCCCCATTTTCACCCATCCCTGCCCCTATGCCCTCCCCATTCTTCCCTACACGCGCCCTGACCAGGCCATGCCTGCATGCCCTCCTCTTGCCTTCATTCCCCCATTTTCACCCATCCCTGCCCCTATGCCCTCCCCATTCCTCCCCACACGCGCCCTGACCAGCCCATGCCTGCATGCCCTCCCCTTGCCTTCATTCCCCCATTTTCACTCATCCCTGCCCCCATGCCCTCCCCATTCCTCCCCACACGCACCCTGACCAGCCCATGCCTGCATGCCCTCCCCTTGCCTTCATTCCCCCATTTTCACCCATCCCTGCCCCTATGCCCTCCCCATTCCTCCCCACACGCGCCCTGACCAGCCCATGCCTGCATGCCCTCCCCTTGCCTTCATTCCCCCATTTTCACCCATCCCTGCCCCTATGCCCTCCCCATTCCTCCCCACACGCGCCCTGACCAGCCCATGCCTGCATGCCCTCCCCTTGCCTTCATTCCCCCATTTTCACTCATCCCTGCCCCCATGCCCTCCCCATTCCTCCCCACACGCGCCCTGACCAGCCCATGCCTGCATGCCCTCCCCTTGCCTTCATTCCCCCATTTTCACTCATCCCTGCCCCCATGCCCTCCCCATTCCTCCCCACACGCACCCTGACCAGCCCATGCCTGCATGCCCTCCCCTTGCCTTCATTCCCCCATTTTCACCCATCCCTGCCCCTATGCCCTCCCCATTCCTCCCCACACGCGCCCTGACCAGCCCATGCCTGCATGCCCTCCCCTTGCCTTCATTCCCCCATTTTCACCCATCCCTGCCCCTATGCCCTCCCCATTCCTCCCCACACGCGCCCTGACCAGCCCATGCCTGCATGCCCTCCCCTTGCCTTCATTCCCCCATTTTCACCCATCCCTGCCCCTATGCCCTCCCCATTCCTCCCCACACGCGCCCTGACCAGCCCATGCCTGCATGCCCTCCCCTTGCCTTCATTCCCCCATTTTCACCCATCCCTGCCCCAATGCCCACCCCATTCCTCCCCACACGCGCCCTGACCAGCCCATGCCTGCATACCCTCCTCTTGCCTTCATTCCCCCATTTTCACCCATCCCTGCCCCTATGCCCTCCCCATTCCACCCCACACGCGCCCTGACCAGCCCATGCCTGCATGCCCTCCCCTTGCCTTCATTCCCCCATTTTCACCCATCCCTGCCCCTATGCCCTCCCCATTCTTCCCTACACGCGCCCTGACCAGGCCATGCCTGCATGCCCTCCTCTTGCCTTCATTCCCCCATTTTCACCCATCCCTGCCCCTATGCCCTCCCCATTCCTCCCCACACGCGCCCTGACCAGCCCATGCCTGCATGCCCTCCCCTTGCCTTCATTCCCCCATTTTCACCCATCCCTGCCCCTATGCCCTCCCCATTCTTCCCCACACGCGCCCTGACCAGCCCATGCCTGCATGCCCTCCCCTTGCCTTCATTCCCCCATTTTCACCCATCCCTGCCCCTATGCCCTCCCAATTCCTCCCCACACGCGCCCTGACCAGCCCATGCCTGCATGCCCTCCCCTTGCCTTCATTCCCCCATTTTCACCCATCCCTGCCCCTATGCCCTCCCCATTACTCCCCACACGCGCCCTGACCAGGCCATGCCTGCATGCCCTCCTCTTGCCTTCATTCCCCCATTTTCACTCATCTCTGCCCCTATGCCCTCCCCATTCCTCCCCACACAAGCCCTCACCAGCCCATGCCCGAATGCCCTCGCCCTGCCTCCGTCTACGCTCCCTCACTCAATATATTTCTTCACACACATTTTACAACATTGAAACCGAGCATAGAATTTCATATATAAATGCATAGTCAAAACACATTTGATACTATTAGCTAGCCTGAATTGTACCATTCACCCTTCACTCACCACCCTCCTCTGCCCTCACCCTTCCTGCCACCTCCTTACCGCCCTGCCGGCCCGTCCGCCACACAGCGGTGCGACAGCGTGAACACCCCCCCTCCGCTGCCCCTGCCCCCCGGCACACTCATCCCCTACCTGCCGCCCTCCCTGGCCCTCTCTCGCCTCCCCTCCCTGCTCCCCTCTCGCCTCCCCTCCCTGTTCCCCTCCCTGTTCCCCACCTTGCTCCCCTTGCTGCTCCTCTCCCTGCCTGCTGTCCTCTCCCTTTCCCCTCGCCACAGCACCGCTCCACCAATGGCAGCCCCACGATCGCTGCTTCCCTCCGAACCCCTCCCCCCCTGCTCCCACATCCGCTCTGCCTTGACCCACACCCACTGCCCCTCCTCTTGCATTCACTGCTGCTTGACCAGCATTTCTTGTCTGTAGCACATCAACTCCTCTCACACGACCTGCACCCAGCCCTGGCTGGCTGACAGCTGTCTCCACCTGATTCGCTGATGCTCCCCTACTTGGATCTGCATTGACCACTGGTTGACTCACGTTGACTGCTGCTTGACCCACGTTGACCAGTGCTGGACCCGCATTGACCGCTGGTTGACTCGCATTGCCTACGTTCCTGTTTCCCCCATCCGTATTCCCCGCGTTCCTGTTTCCCCCATCCGTATTCCCCGCGTTCCTGTTTCCCCCATCCGTGTTCCCCCAGTTCCTGTTACACCCATTCTTACTCCCCCCATACGTGCTTCCCCCACCAGAGTTTCCCCCATCCCTGTAACCCCCATGCTCATCCCTGCAGTTGCCCCAAACCCCACGCCCCCACGACATTACCCCCCATTCCCACACCCCCTGCGCCCATCCCCCCCACACCCCCACCCCCACCCAATCCCCCCAACACCTCCCCAACACCCGCATTCACACCAGCCACACCAGGTACGCCCTGCAGCCCCACCCCAGCCCCGCCCTGCAGCGGAGGCCTGACCCGCGGAGGCATTCGCGAGTTACGCCATGACGGACGTGTCATCCGGGTCCAAGCCCAGCACCACGTCCTCCTCCATGGGCGCACACTCGACCTTGAGCTCCGGGTCCGCGGCGTACACACGCACACCAACCGCTGTCACCGCATCCACCGCGTCGTCGTCCTCCTCTTCTTCCTCCTCCTCCTCTGCTCCCTCCTCTTCACCCACCTGCTGCTTCGTCTCGGGCTCCTCCTCCCCCACCACAGCCTCCTCCACCTCCTCCTCTTCAGTCTCGTCCCACTGCGTCGAATCCACGGCCTTGGAAAGCGCGTGAACGAAATTTCCCGCGACCGTGAGGAATTTCGCCGACTGCGCGTTCACGAATGCCTTCACATAGTCCTGCCGCGTCGCCCGATCAGTCGGCACGCGGGAGACCTTGACACTCACGCGCCACGTGCCGGCCTCCAGGAACAACTCCTTACTCACCGACCGGTTCATCGTCAGTGTCTGCTTCGAGCGCGCATAGTAATCGCTCTCGCCCTCGCGACGCACGCGGAAATGCAGCCGAAAGTCGTATTTCCCTTCAAGCCCCGTGAAATACCGCGCATCCACTTGCTGCAGCACGATCACGACCGGCGAGCGCTTGCTCAGTGTGAGCTGGAATTCCTGCTCCGCAAACTTGGCCGGCCAGAGCGCTTCGACGTGGGTCCAGGCCTGCGCCATGGTCCACTCGGGCGTGAAGATCCGCGTGCGATCGAGCTCCGTGAACGTGGCGAGGAAATCGTCATAGCTCATCCAGAACGCGCCATCGTCCCCGAACCGATGGTTCAGCGCGGTCATCCACTCGGCCGTCCACTCGGGCGAGCCGTCGGCCCATAGGCCCGTCCACTCGGACTCGCCCCACGGGTTGCGCACGTGCACGAGACGCGTCCCCTTGATCTCGACGGCCTGGAGCACAGAGTAGGCGTGGTTTGTGAAGATCCCGTTCACGGAGACCGCGTTTACGCCAGAGATCGCGCACGCGAAAAGCAGTTCCTTGTTCACTTTCGTTAGTTCGTCCGTCCAGAACCGGTCTTTATCCAGGATATCGCGCGTGATGATCTCGGACGTGACGCCACCGGTCAAATCCTCGACCCCTTCGCCCGTGAACCCGCCCTCGATGGAGGAGTAATCGCCATGCGCCTTGGCGTACGCCTTCTCGAGCAGGGGGAGCCAGGTCTCGTTCGAATCGACGCATTTTGCGAAGTGGAGTGCGTTCGAGCCGCGCTGGACAGCTTGAACGTAGTCCTTCTCGGTCGGGAACACGCGCTTCATGCCAGCGTCGGCGTCGGCGTAGTCTGGGTGCGTCACGAAGAGCTGGTCGTCGATGACCTCGGAGATCCACTCGCCGTCGCGGAAGAAGATGAACCCGTAGACCCCGACTCGCTCGTCGCGCGCGACACAGATCGACTCGAGCAGCTTGGGCATGTTCGCGATCGTCGCGACCGCCGCGAGGAACCAGCAATCGCCCGCGCCGCCCTGCTTGATATCATCGGCGCGGATGCCATCGACGATGAAAAGCGGCTCATCGTAGAGATCGCCGACGCGTTTCGCTGCAGCCGGCTTCCCCGCGCCGCCCTCGTGGCGCTGCCTCAGCCCATTGAGACAGAAATTGGGCATATTCGCGAGGTCGAAGTGCGGGTCCCGGTACTTGACGTTGTCCATGCGGCACTCGCGCGAGATCTTCTCGACCTTGCGACGACACTCGCGGATCGCGGCATCGCGCGACTCGGTCGCGATGATCGTCTTCATGCCACGCTGCACTTTCATCTCGGTGAGATCGTGCACGACAAGACCAGCATTGTTCTCGTCACGCGGTGGCTTCATCGCGAAAAAGGACTTGCTTGCAGTTTGCAGGAAAGTTGGGAAAAAGAAGCTTTTGTCCTTGTTCTTGCCGCTGTCCTTGTTCTTAGATTGCATGTTGTTCAACCTGCCGCCCGCCTGCCGCTGTTGCGTCTCGATGTCCGCCATTGCTGCCATGGTGGGGGGTGGAGGAGGGGGTGGTGGTGGTTCCGTCTCACAGTGTTGCAGTGGATGCAGTAAAAAAAAGGAATGTTGAAAGACGAGATGAGGCCGAAGAGGCAATGTGGAGCTCCAAGGATAACTCGAAAACGCTGCCAAGTGCTTAAGAATGAGGTGTGAGAGGACGGGATGACCATTGAGTTTCGGCTCCTCCGGGATGTAGCGTGGCGCGTCTCCGCCCCTCTTGGCTGCCAACGAGACGATTCTCTGTCATGGGCGGAAAACGCGAGCCATTGGATTGGGAGAGGCGGCTGGAAGGGGAGGGGGAAGGGGCTAGTCGGTAGTAGGACGCGCGGCGCAGACGCGGTAATCCTCCCGCCGCCTTGGCAGCGGCGAGAGAGTCGTAGCGGAAAATCGCTGCGCGCGCCCCGGTCGCCATGGCAGACTCTATTCAGAGACTCAGACCCGGCGAGCTACGAGAGACTCAGAGACACTATTCAGAGACTCGGACCCGGCGAGCTACGAGAGACTTAGAGACACTGTTCAGAGACTCGGACCCGGCGAGCTACGAGAGACTTAGAGACACTGTTCAGAGACTCGGACCCGGCGAGCTACGAGAGACTTAGAGACACTATTCAGAGACTCGGACCCGGCGAGCTACGAGAGACACAGACACTATTCAGAGACTCGGACCTGGCGAGCTACGACATCAGAAAGTTTGTGACCCAGCCGCAGACAGGCCTCCAGGCGAACTGCATTTCCAGGAGCAGCAGGGGGTGCTCTGGAAATTACCATGTACGGGGCGGGGTCTCCTGTGCTGATGGGTTTGGACATTTCTAAATCGAAATGGTTGGAAATTGCAGGTTGTGGCACTGCGCCAGCTGCTCGGGGACTGGCTGGATCTCGCGATGTTGCCATGTGGCTGTACATCGCACTGCACATCGATTTGGCCTACGTGGACAGTTGCCAAGTCACGCACCCATTCTTCAACTCCGATCAATCGCGCTATTGTATTATGCTACTTTCATAATAAATGCTGTATCACTTAAGGAAGGCATAGAGCACTGAGAAATATCATACTTTGGCAATACAAATTGCTGTTATTATTTCAGTAGCAAATTCTTCTTACCGCATATGAATTCTCTTTCAATCTTCATTCAACCATATGGTTCTCATAATAATACGCTGGTTGATTTTATTGCAACACGTAGTATCAACACTTCCGTTCTTACCTGTTTTGCTCTATATGAGCTATTGCGGTACTGGTACAGACGCATTGCTTCGTTCTGAAGTGACGTGTGAGTGGAGATCCTTCGGGAATGTTACAATAACATTTCGGTTATTCCAACATTGTTAAAGAAGGATCAGTGAAATGTTCTTAATTTTGTTTAATTACAATATCACCATCTGATGCATGCTATAATTTAAAGGCAGATGTTGTCAACATTCATGCGGAGAGTCACTACACAACGGGAGTGGACTACGGAGGAAGGCACGGGGTTGTGCGGGGTTGTGCGTTGTACTAGCGTTCTCACAACTTGCTGTGTTCACAACGATATTTGGCAAGAGTTTCACTAATAAATTGAAACAACAATAGATCACAGACATGCAAGTCGATATAGCTAGAATGGCATCGCAACACCTAGTAAGACCTTTGCGGAGCAAACTCTGCCAGCGCAGTGGAAGAGCGGCTTGCCAACGTTGCAGCAGAGTAGTTTTCCCAACGTTGCATTGCAGCGGTCTGCAAGAGCCGCAGAGGCAGGTGAACATCTCCACATGTGCGCACATACCAAGTATGTGCAGATAGACGGTCGCGTCGCCAGGCACATTGCGCATGTGCCAGGTATAACACGTGTCGGCGGTTTCGCCAGCGGTGCACTAACGAGCACGTGATGCCGTTCCGCAGGTTGACTTCGCGAAAACCTCATGAGGCGAAGTTCGCGCACATCTACGACCTTCGCAGTCGAACAACGTTCGGCTGGTTCGCGCAGAGACCAGCGCATAGCCTCTCGACACATTAGCTTGAGTATTATCTACGCAAGGTTGTGTTGCTTGCACAATACAAGGTATATGCTTGCTTGATATAACCCATCACATGCCTTTACTATTCATTAATTCAGTTAATGATATATATCTGATATGAGATGTAATGTAACGAGATATCGCAATAGAACGTCTGATATAACCTATAGCCAATCTGGGATGAATGAGATAAAATAATTACATTTCAATATATGTAAAGCAAATTGATGTGCAAGGATGAGAATGTGATACATAGTAATATTTGGTACACATTACTGTTTTTTCCCCCATATATTCCGTTTCGATGCTAAAAGATGACAAATGTGCTTGGAAACATATACGGATTATAGAAAATTATAAGTACGTACGTTAAGTTTTACAAAAAATTGTATCCAGATTTTGTAAAGGATTAGGTATATAACTTGAAATATAAAAAAAACAGTTATTATCCACACCATTTGTTGGTATTTTGTTGCCAATGTTCAGGTTTCGCCTATTATCATGACTATTTGTGTTATTCTTTGTTGGTTCTTGAAACTGGATCTTGGCTGGAAAAGGATATAAACAGGTAGGTCTTTGTTCGAGAAACATGTGTACAGTGGGGTCTTGAAACTGCAGTGCTGTATCAATATCCGTATTTGTCTAGATGGCAGGAGTTAGCGAGCAAGTTCGATTCGTCGACCTGGACATTTCTGTACACCTCACGACGCCCAAAAATGCCATTGTGGCCAATCGGTGCTCAGACCGGTGTCACCGCTGGACAATGCTGTGGCACCAAACTTCCACTATGCCCAATGGTTGCGTAGGCTCGTGACAGCGCTGCCAATTCCGTTTACGTGTATGGCTGCTCAACCACTGAATCAGCATATTTGATGCCACACTGGTGGTTGCTGCGCTGGTATGCCAGTGGCAGGTTTCGTCGCTTCGCCTGGCTCTCAGTGATCGAGGAGAGGTTCATGCATCTGGGTACTGGCTTGTTCATCACCTCATTCGGATCGTTTGTACAAGCATTAGGCTCTCAGCTCAGCCATTCCTCATCAACGAGCTTTAACTGTTAGAGTAGGTAGGTAGGTGAGATTGAGGTTCAAGTGAGGGCCTAGGCTTAGTAGCCTAGGCCAAGGGGAGTCGAGTGAGTTGTGGCAAGGAGTGTCGAGAATGGTGGTGTTCACTATAGCACGAGGGTACATATAGCAAACAAATGAAGAGGTGCACCACCTACAAAGTTAATAACTACACAACAGCTAGAACTACATGCAGTTTTAACAACATAATTCTGACACCCCCCCGTAACTGCATGCAGGAATAGCCAAGTGCAAGACACAACCTGCAGGGGTACATCACAGACAAAGAAAATAGCAACAGCAGGCAAGAGCAGATGCAAGTTCACAAAATAAAGACAAGAAGCAGCACTAGAGGGGCAGTGAGGAGGAGGAGTTGGGAGGCGGCAGGTGAGGCTGCTGGCTTCACGGCGGCTGCCTCCTAGAACCTCCCCCATGCTCCCAAACCCCCTCTGCACACTCCTCAACGTCCCTAGTGCCACTCCCCCGGCTCCCCACACCCTCACACCCTCCCCCCCAGTGGCAGCTGCAGCAGTGGGAGAGAAAGGAGGAGGAGGGGAAGGGGATCACACACACCCATCACCCCCATACCCGCCACCTCCATACCCTCCCCCCCACGGCTGCACGCGCAGCAGGGAGACGAAGGAGGAGGAGGGGGGGGGGGGGGGGGGGTGGCGGGGAAGAAGCCGCCTCACGGCCACAGAGGGGCGGCGCGCAGGGAAGGGCAGGGGCGGCTGCACCGAGGGTAGGCGCGTGAAGGACAGGGGCGGCTGCACCGAGGGCAGGTGCGAGTAGGGCAGGGGCGGCTGCACCGAGGGCAGGCGCGGGTGAGGCAGGGGCGGGTGCTCCAAGGGCAGGCACGGGTGAGGCAGGGGCGGCTGCTCCAAGGGCAGGCGCGGGTGAGGCAGGGGCGGCTGCTTCGAGGGCAGACGCGGGTAGGGCAGGGGCGGCTGCTCCGAGGGCAGGCGCGGGTGAGGCAGGGGCGCTGTCGCGGGCGCCAGGGGCGGGTCCACAGCAGCTCAGGGCACCATCGCGGGCGCCAGGGGCGGGTCCGCAGCGGCTCAGGGCACCGTCGCGGCCGCCAGGGCCGGGTCCGCGGCGGCTCAGGGCACCGTCGCGGGCGCCGGGGGCGGGTCCGCGGCGGCTCAGGGCACCGTCGCGGGCGCCAGGGGCGGGTCCACAGCGGCTCAGGACACCGTCGCGGGCGCCAGGGGCGGGTCCGCGGCGGCTCAGGGCACCGTTGCGGGCGCCAGGGGCGGGTCCGCGGCGGCTCAGGGCACCGTCGCGGGCGCCAGGGGCGGGTCCGCGGCGGCTCAGGGCGCCGTCGTGGGCGCCAGGGGTGGGTCCGCGATGGGCAGAAAAAACGTCACGCGCCACCCGGGCGCGGGACAGAACGAAAATCGCCACGCGCCCGATACGCGCGACCGGAAAAACAGCAGCGGAAGCGAGAGGCTGGCCCACAGGCCAGGACATAACAGGCTCTAATACCATGTTAGAGTAGGTAGGTAGGTGAGGTTGAGGTTTAAGTGAGGGCCTAGGCTTAGTAGCCTAGGCCAAGGGGAGTCGAGTGAGTTGTGGCAAGGAGTGTCAAGAATGGTGGTGTTCACTATAGCACGAGGGTACATATAGCAAACAAATGAAGAGGTGCACCGCTTACAAAGTTAATAACTACACTACAGCTAGAACTACATGCAGTTATAACAACATAATTCTGACAGTAACAACTATAACAACTATTCTATTATCAAGAATGACACTACCAAGGTGGCGACCTCGAGAATGCATCACCATTTGCTCGAGATACTGGAACCTGACAAGTCCAGGACACTACTTAATGGCTCTGTGCTCAGTCATCAGGCATCACACACAGACTTCGAGAGTGCTCGGCACGTTCTCCTGCTGCCTTCATTCTTTCATCATCGCACAATGGCTCACCCAGCTGATGTCCTGACTCTGCCTAAGGGTCCGCACTCTCGTCCTGCGCTCGACCCGTCTGCTTCCACGGGTGCTGATAACTCCAACGGGCTTCAGGCTCCTGTAATCAATGACAAGGACAAGTCAGCCTCTTCAGCCGCTAACGGATCTGGGCTAACTGCTGCTGACAAGGTCAACATTCCCTCGGTTGGACTCACTGTTGATGATGACTTTATCGATGACGACTCTGATAATGAGATGGCTATTGATCTGGTTGAGGAAGCAGGCTCCGGTTTGTTGATTCCTTTCATGTTGCACAAGGAATTTCCATGCGTGATTGAGGCTGTAACGGCACTGATAAAACACGGGTGGTACGCAAAGTTATTAGATGATGCTGCAACAACGACTAAGTTTCAGGAACTTCACACGGCCTACATCGCCAAGACGCGCTTCTGTCGCCTGCAAGTTTCTTTCGTCAAGGAATTTGACGCGGGATGGGTGCGGAAGAAAGAAGTAATTTATCAGCCGCTTAAGAATCAGGCTCAACTCATCACGCTTCACTGGCAACACACCGAGGACTTGTCCTACATTCGCGAGAAGGCATTGAACCCGCAGGCTATCGAATTCATGATCACGGGTGTTTCTGCTGCTGTCGAGCTGTTCCTGATTCATGACTGCATGGCTACTTACCCGCTTACCAGTACCAGGCGTTCGGCGTTTCTGCGGTGTACCTGCCTGCACTGTATGCTTCACCATGTGACTGGAGCAGACACAGACGTGGTGAAAGGTCTGGTTTATGCTCACCCTAAGAGTAAGAACCGTCGTTGGACCCACACGATTGCTTATCCTCGTCCATTATCCGTCCTTATCCAGTTCACTCTGTGGCGGCAAGCATTATGATAAGTATCATGATGCTTTTGTCACTGAGCGTCAGAATAATGTCAGTAAATGGAGCCTCACTCTTGGCAAAGTGCACATGCTTAACGGTAAAAGCAGCAGTCAGTCTTACGTTTGCTTTCCGCTTCATCTCTCTCCATCACGCACTAACCTGTTCTCGGAACTTCGCAGCCGTGTCGGTGAAAGCGTCATCGCTCTTCCTTCCCATCCTCCGCGATCCGGCCATTGCTCTCGTCTCCACCGGCAGCAGCAGGGAAGATTGGATCTGCACGCAAACGGGCTGCGGGAAGGCGAAGGGGAAAAGTCTCATGGCGGCGGCAGATCATATCTCTGCAGCTTCTCACCTGCTAGAGCTGTCGAAGGCAGGCTCTGCAACGAAGGAGTCCCTCGACAAGCTGAACCTAGAGGTCATCCGCAAGGAGTACGGACTCCGACAGAGTTTGAGAGTTACCTGGATGCAGCGGCCTGTTGGTGCTTAGGAGTTAGTGTCTGTCAGAATGAGAAGTGGTTGGACTAACAACATTAGGAGTACAAGTAGGAAAACCTAGAATATTGTATCCCCTAAGGCTTAACCCACTGTAGCCTACAGAATAGCAACATATATAATGTTTGACACACCCCCATAGGCTAAGTGGGGGAGAGCAAGGGGTCACAAGACCAGTCAAGAAAGACAAATCAAGCTCAGGGTGGATCACAACGTCACCACACTCACTGAGCACAAGAAAAGAGCCACAAGGCCAGTTCACATGCAGAGGCATATATGGAACACAAAACAATACAGCGATCTCTGCCTAGCAAAGCAAGCATGCAGGTATATATATATAAATATATATATAGATCACAGTACAGGCAAAGCCTACAGCAAGTGAGGAAAGGTGGGCACAAGCCCTAGCATAGTGCAGAAACGCTGATGATCACCAGACTGAAGTGCCTTGGTGAATATATCAGCAGTTTTGGCCAGAGTGGCCACGTAACGCAGACGAAGCTGACCACGCTGCTGCAACTCTCGAGCCAGGAAGTAACGCAGAGCGATGTGCTTCGTTCTGTGCTCCGGTCTGTGCTCCTCACACAAGGCAATGGCAGCCTTGTTATTGTTGTACACCACTGGAGGAGAACGAGGCCGCTCTCCCAAGTCAGTCAGCAGGTAGGTGAGCCAGCGTAACTCCTGTGCAGCCATGGCTGTGGCGTAGATCTCAGCCTCACAACTGGAGCTGAGAACTGAAGACGAGCGAGTAGAACGCCAAGAAACTGAACCAGAGCCAAGGCTGAAGGTGTAACCCTGTGACGACCGCTGAGTAGCCTGGTCGTCAACCCAAGAAGCGTCTGAGTGCCCAGTGAGAACAACTGAGCTCCTCCCTCCAAGCACGAGCCCCATGCCTGACGTACTGCACAAGTAGCGCAAGACCCTCTTAGCAGCAGCCATGTGCTCCGGTCGGTGCTGACCAGGAGCCACGTAGCGAGCCAGAAGGCCAAGAGGGTAAGCAAGGTCAGGACGAGTGCAAGTCATCAGGTACATGAGGCAGCCAACTAGCTCTGGGTAAGGACCACTCGGCTCTACGGACTCGTCCGAAGGTGGATCTGAGAGCGAGTGACCTGTAGCCAGAGGAGTGGCCTGTGCTGAGGACCAGGTGAAGCCGAAGCGCTGAAGGACCTGCTGCACCATGTATGACTGAGTCAGTGTGATGGTGCGCCGTGCTCTGTCCCGGGTGATCTGCAAGCCAAGGTAGCTGCGCAGTTCACCCAGGTCTGTGCACGTGTGTCTCTTCTGCAGCTCTGACTTCATGTGAGTGAGAGCTTCAGTGTCAGCAGTGGCAAAGACCAAGTCGTCGACGTACACGAGGATGTAGAATGGCGGCAGCGAAGTGTCGGTGCGCAGAAACAGCGACGGGTCAGCAGTAGAAGGCGCGAACCCAAGAGCCGCAAGTGTAGTCCTCAGTGTGTCATGCCACTCACGTGGTGCCTGGCGGAGACCGTAGACCGGCCGCCGGAGACTCCACTGGGTACCAGGAGGAAACGACCCAGTGAAGCCAGGAGGGCGGCGCAGCCAGATCTCCTCGTGCAGGCTGCCTTGCAAGAAAGCTGTGCTGAAGTCAAGAGAGTGAAGCTCGTAGTCACACTGAGCGGCAACGTGCAGCAGCACCCGAAGAGTGGTCATCTTCGGGGTGGGGGAGAAGGTCTAGAAGAAGTCTACTCCCTCTCGCTGACTGAAGCCTCGAGCAACGTAACGAGCCTTGAAGACAGGCGGAGAACCTGGCGGCCGCTTCACCCTGAAAATCGACATGCCACTGACGATGTTCGCCCCAGGAGGGGGAACCTCGTCGACGTAAGTGCCTGTGGACTTCCAGGATGCCATCTCTGCGTCCATGGCTCTCTGCCACTGAGAGGAGTACTCACCCGCGATCTCCTCAGCGTAAGAGCGCGGGGTCGGGATGTCTGGTGCATCCGGGTCTCCCTCAGGTGCAATCAGCATGGACACAAGATGAGGTACAGCGGCGGCAAAGCACTCAAACTCCTTCTGCCTGTCCTCAAGGACGTCCGTGCCAAGAGCACACTCACCCCCGACGGACAGAGGACAGACAGACTCAGACTCGGCAACAAGACTCGCAGCGTAGTCTAGACGACAGTGAGCAGCAAAGTCGACAAGCTCAGCAACTAATGCAGACGCAGCAGCTGACTCAAAGGAAGGGTCAGTGATAGCAGTGGCCAGGAGACGCGTGACAGTAGGACTAGCAGCACGAAGAGAGTCAGACTTCGGGTCGGCAAGGGCAGGAAGAGAGGACGCAGGAGGAGAAGGCAGAGGGACACGCTGTGGAGCAGTGGAAAGACGAAGCGTCATCTGGTGAGTGCCTGGGACAGCAGGAGGACGCTGACGCGGGACACGACGACCAGTGCGAGCAGCACGAACAGGTGACGCAGAACGAGACTCAGGCAACACAGGACGAGACTCAGGCTCACGACGCTCCGTAAGACCTCCTGTCGGACCAGTGTAGGGAGAAGGACCAGGGAGTGGGGAGGAAGGCTGTAACTGTGACTGCGACTGGACAGGCGGAGGACACTCTAAGGAGGGAGCAGGACAAGGAGGAGGCGGCTGACCAAGAACCTGCTGAAGGAGCGGAACGAAGTACGGCCGCGGCCGCGAAGCGCCCCCAGAACCAGCAGAGACAGCACCAGAACCCTCAGTAGCAGCTCCAACTCCTGTAGCACCACCAGCAGCTCCAGTAGTGCCAACTCTAGTACCCCTAGTAGCACCAGCTCCAGCCGCACCGTCGGCTCCAGCACCTGCAGGAGGACGAGCGTCAGCACCTCCAGCTCCAGCCTCTGCAGCACCAACCCCAGGGTCAGCAGCTACACCACCACCAGTAGGCCCAGCGTCCTCAGCTCCACCAGCAGCTCCAGCCGCTCCAGCACCTCCAGCTCAAACTCCAGCACCAGAAGCACCTCCAGCAGCTCCAGCACCAGCAGCACCTTTTAGCAGCACCAGGGCCTCAAGCGGGCGGCACCCCAGTGCTAGGAGCGCCGCTCCTGAGGCTGCAGCGCCGAGCGTACCACTCACGCAGCCGCTGTGCGTAGGGAGGCTCCGGCCGCGACACAGTACCCGCAGCACCACCAGCTCCAACTCCGGCAGAACCCCCAGCTCCAGCAGCCCCACGCCGGAGGCTGTAACGCTGAGAGTACCACTCACGCAGCTGCTGTGAAGAGGGAGCACCACCAGGCGCAGCACGGTCAGTCTTAGCTCCCCCAGGCTCAGCACCCCCAGTCTCAGCACCCCCAGGCTCAGCACCCCCAGTCTCAGCACCCCCAGGCGCAGCACCCCCAGTCTCAGCACCCCCAGGCTCAGCACCCCCAGTCTCAGCACCCCCAGGCTCAGCACCCCCAGTCTCAGCACCCCCCGTCTCAGCACCCCCAGACGCAGTACCCCTCGTAGGACCAGAGTCGACCGCTACCTCGACAGGCTCGACCGGGTCTACCTGGGAAACACCTGAGGGAGCAGGACCCTGGGGAGGGAGGGGGTCTACCGAAGTGGCACCTGGGGTGAGGAAGAGAGGCGGGGGGGGGGAGCGGCGCAGTGCGGTAGGGGAACAGACGATAAAAGGGTACCGACTCGTCAAAAGTGACGTCCTGAGAGGGGAAGACACGGCGCGAGGTGGGGTGGTAAAACTGCCAGCCAGGCGCGTCAGGGACAAAGCCAAGGAAGACACAGGGAACGGCACGGGAGGAGAGCTTGTCCGCGGACGTATCGCGAACAAAGGCTCGACATCCCCAGACCCGGAACACCGACGCATCGCCAACCTCCCCCGTCTAATGCAGTGTGGGTGAGGTCTCCGGAGCAGAGACACGGGGCCAGAGGTTGAGCTGATGCACGGCGTACTGCACTGCAAACGGCCACAGGAAACGGGGGGCAGCCGCATGGATCATGGAGGTACGAGTGACCTCCATGACTAAGCCAATGCGGCGCTCAGCAACCCCATTCTGCTGTGGAGAGGCCGGAAGCGTGAACGTCTGGCGGATGCCGTGCTCCGCACAGTAGGCTGCCAAGAGGTCGGAGGAAAACTCACCACCCCTGTCAGAGTGCAGACGCAGGACGGGAAAGTCCGACTGGAACCGCTCGCGGAGCTGGAGACGAGCAGCGCGGATCCAAGGGATCAAAACATCAGGGACCTCACCCTTGGTGCGCAAGGGGAAGACCGTGGTGTAGCGCGTGTAGTCGTCGGCGACCAGCAGGAAGTACCGCTCGTTGCCCTGTCCACGGACGCGGGCTGGGCCCCACACGTCCAGGTGGAGAGTCTGCAGGGGAGCCTCTGTGGGAGGGAACGAGGAGTAGTGAGGAGTGGCGCGCTGCCACCCCTCGACACAGGGAAGACAGGGAGGAGCAGGCGAGGGTGGGAGGGGAGGGAGAACACTGGGAAGACCAGAGACAAGGTACACTGCATGCCACGAAGGCGCTGCACTGACGGGTGACCAAGGCGGTGGTGCCAGAGGACGGTCTGGTGCAACAGGGAGCGACACGAGCAGGGGGCCGACAGCTGACCTGACGTAGACGCAGACGCAGCTACCTGAGGGGACTCAGTGGTCAGTGTGTACAGGTCCGACCCCGGCTGCCGAGTGAAGGTAGCCAGGTTGCGACCCATCCGAGCACACGTACAGTGGGTCACACGCTCATAGGCAGGGGTGAACTGGTGAACACCCCCATCCTGGAGAGCAGAGCCCGCCACCAAGTTCGTAGAGAACGAGGGGAGGTAAAGACCCGACAGGGTGATGGAAAGCGAGCGAATCTGGAGAGCGTACAAGAGATTAAGTCCGCCGACTTCGACGGAACATTGCGTGCAGCTCACGTAACCTTAAACTATGAGCAGGTACGCGTTGGAAAGGTCTTAATCTCTACAATCCAGAATAGTAACGCACGTCTTCAACCAAGATCTAGGCCGATCGCTATCGCGATTTAAGTGCGACGGTGTATTCTGGCGGAGTTAATAGGCAG